ACAGGTCTTTTATATAGGCTTTTTAGATGCACAATTTTTTTGCTGAGCCTACGGGTGCTTAGGCACCCTAGGTGATATGTGTAGGTCCCTTTGATGATACTGAACTTGCTAGTTAGACCTCTATTAGGAAATGATCCACTAATTGCTGCCTTAGAATAACTTTATAATTGAGTTGTTTTCTTTTAACATAGTGCTTCAATCTTTTTCTTCCTTTTCTGTATTTTTTTCGTTAGCATGGGGTATTATTACTTAACATTCATGATCATTTTTTCAATCTTGTTCTCTTTTTCCAAAAGTTCCTGTCCAAGTTGGAAATAACTACCCCCCTTTTTCTCTGATGTGCTGGGTTGTTGATCTATCACTATGCATCTGTATGCGTATTTTCTTATTCCTCTTTTGATGGGGGCGGTAATCGGTTTTGTAGTTTCATGTTTTCCTCATCTTATCTTTTCTTGGCAAGTCTTTCTACATCTTATCTTAAGGAATTTGAATGAGCTGTTTTCTTACATAAACATACCTGGATTCTCCAGATTAAGCAAGGTTAGAATGAATGCTACGGTGCCTTTGCAAATGGCTGGGAATCATATATTTTATGCCCATATCTCTGAATATTAGTTGTATACCCTCTTTTACTATGGAAGCCTTGTTGGGGAGCCATATGATTTCTGCTGTTCAGATTAGTCAGAAGTTATTCATAAGTTCAATTCAAACTCTTACGGCAAACCAACAAGGGACGGCACCATACTTAAAATTAAAATTCGATTTCAAAAGCGTACTCAAATGTAATAAGATTTCTAGACTGCTTTCTGGAAAGTGTTCCATCCCATTTTCCTTGTTTTCTCTTTGGGACTGAGGTTATAGGAAACACAATGTAGTAAATGTCTTGAGCAATTGGATAATCAGACTAAAGTATGTTAGAGAAGATGTGATATTACCTCTTGATGCAATTCAAGAGCTGTCAGTTTTGGTAGCCCATATTTTAAGAATGAGATTGTTAATGTACATTTTCCTGATACCAGATTCTTTGGTAGCGTATTTAGTCGATGGTCTATATGTATTTGATGTAACATTTAATGTAATACTTGTTGAATTCATCATGAACTGTTTAGTTTCAGAGAGATCCTTCCAGAAAGAGATTGGAGAGCCATCAACTTGAATCAAATGGTAGCAGCGGTATAACTTATTCTAACTTGCATCGAATTTAGAGCTTGATATGGAGTGTGTTTCTTGTCATGTTAAGGGCTGTCTACATTTTGAAGGTTTATTTGGTCAACATAATGCAAAGAAGCCAAAGATGCTGAGGCAATCACTTGAAAATTCTTTCGAGAATAATGCCCCTATTGGTGGATCTATTCCATCTCCAGTTGCCTCCCAGATGAGTAACATGGCCAACCCGAATAAACTTATTAGGATGCTTAGTGGAAGGGACCGGAGTAGGAAAGCCAAAACTTTGAAGGTACTTAAGTTTATCTCAGCTAGAATCTCTTTCCTTCTTTCAATTTTGCCCATTTGTTTGCATGGATGCCGGTTTGGAGGTTTAGCTGATTAAAGAAAAATATATTAGATAATATCTGGAAAACGAATTTGATCATCTACAATCTCATGCAGATGCCTGCAGGACAGCCAGGTTCAGGAAGTCCTTGGTCACTATTTGAGGACCAGGTTGGTTTCTTATGCATATGATATGGACCTTCTTCTGCTTATTCGTACTGTAGTTCTTTTGGCTAGCATGCATATAAAAGGAATTGACTTCAAATTAGGCACTTGTTGTCCTGGTGCACGACATGGGTCCAAATTGGGAGCTTGTAAGTGATGCCATCAACAGTACCTTGCAATTCAAGGTGAGCGGTAGTTACGTGTTTTCATACCATCTTTTAGCTAGACGTACACAGAACTCGCTTTTACCCCATCTTGGCGTTCTTTATTGTGTTTAATGTTTCTTTTTTATCATGGCTTTTTTTATTACCTTTTCACTGCTTTTAAGCAGTCATGTTCAATTCATGCAGTGTATATATCGCAAACCTAATGAGTGCAAGGAACGCCATAAAATACTTATGGACAGAACTAGTGGTGATGGCGCTGATAGTGCTGAAGATTCAGGATCTTCTCAACCATATCCTTCAACATTACCTGGCATTCCCAAGGTTCAACATTTGTTTACTTCCGTTGTTTCTTTGAGCTCAAAGGTTTTTATAAATCAGTTTGAATCAACACATGCAGGGAAGTGCCAGACAGCTGTTTCAGCGTTTGCAGGGGCCAATGGAAGAGGATACGCTCAAATCGCATTTTGAGAAGATCATCTTGATTGGGAAGAAATATCTTTTACGGAGGATTCAGGTATGTTCTTGCACTAGCATTTATCTATAAATTGTGTCTTGGCCATGTTAGGTAAATTAACAGTTCTAGCCTGCCAGTTTAGCCTTTTTAGCAACCTTTGGTCAGCGTTGTAGGGTTGCAAAATGTGATTGGTTATAATTTAGTCAAGTCTCTGCCATAGTTTAGGTTTTTAATGTCTCAAATATGCACAATATGTTCTGTTGGTCGTCGGAAGTCTAATAAATTCAGCTCCTAGTTTAACTTTTGTTATGAAGATTAAATTGTTTTTCTAATTAGGAAATTAGGAAATGAAGTGTTAGCATAATCGACTTAGTTCGGAGAAGTGGAATAAGATTTTATAACATGCAAAGTGACCTAAAACTTCATAACATGCAAACTGGCCTACGATTTTATATCCTTTGCGAAGGTTAGTTCGGGATATTCTTCCTTGAAAACATGTTGCGTTATATGCTTTCAATTATTATGCTATAGGTCAACTCATCAATCAAGGAAGAGAGTGACATGGTATCATTAGTACCTGCCTTGTCGTGCAGATATTGATGACCTTTTTTTTTCCTGACGATGACCTTTTTTTTCCTGTGTTACAGAAAAGGAAACATCAACTATCTTATAACTTTTGGCATATTTCCGAACAAGAATAATCTAGATGCTGCCACAAGTTTTAAAATTTTTGGCTACAAACTATTAGAGTTAAAGGTGGCGTTTGTCTGTAGTATTTCTTTTTTTTTTTTTTAATTTTTTTGGAATCCTGCAAAAAAAAAGTTCCTCAAACGTGTTTGTTTGAGTTTTTTGTAAAACTTTCTTGCAAAAAAATTCCGAAGACTTTTTAAAAGAAAAATTATTCTTCTACTCATAGAACACTTGCAAATCTTCAAAAACTACAACTATTCTTGGATGTTTAGTTATACAAACATTTTTTTCAAAAAGCTGTCCAGATAGATCCTTAATGGTGCTCTGATGCTTCCCATATAGAGTTTTTTCTGTTAATCTAGATGCTGTCACTAGTCTGAATTTGTAACCCCTCATCTTTGGGCAGGAGTTGTCAGATCTTGCCCAGGCAAAGGAGTGAGTGAGTGTCGTACGCTGTGCTTGCGGAGCTTTATATCATAAAAAGGAAAAGACTTATCACGATAACTTATTTTGCTGGATAATATACTTTCAACTCATTTCGATGTGATTAAGTACTGGAAAATTTTACTCCAACCTTATCGTGTTAATCACTGTGATTAAGTACTGGAAAATTTTACATTCTGACACAGACATTGAAATTTTTAATAACGGTGGTGTCGGAGCCAACTTGTGTATACCTGGACTAATCAATTGCGTACCCTACTCACATCACATGTATATGTACCGGATAAGTGTGTTTGCTAAGGCTTAAATAGATGGGAAGACTTAAGCTAGTGTCACTTCTGTTGGGATTCGAACCTTGGGTTCTAAGGCTTATTCCCAACTCGTTGATCACCAGGCCACCCCCTTGGAGGCTAGACATATCATGTTTAGTTTTCAGATTTTGGTACGAAGATATCAAAATTGTTGTGGAGAAATCAGCGTCATAGGATTGTCGATTACAATTTCCCAGTTTCGCTTATCCTAGTGTATATTGGAGAATTGGGTATAGTTGGACAAGAGAGTAAATAGTTGCAGCATTAGGGGAAGAGTACTGGATTCATTTTTTCAGTGTGTATGGACAGTCAGTAACCTCTTGTTCTCTTTATATTTGCTTTATATACTTATGAGTTCTAAGTGATTATAATGTTTAGTTTCTTTTTGATGAAGGGTGGTAACCATGATTTGAAGCAACTCCAGCAACCGCACGATTCTCACATGCTTGCTCTTTCCAAACATTGTTCAAATAATCTGAATGGAGGACCAATTCTTACGTAAGTTTATCTTGAGTGTAATCCAGAAGTCGGCCTTTTCCTATTCGGCCAAACTGAAGCTTGGATGTTAACTCTTTTTTCCCCTGTTCTTCTGGTCCACTATTTTGGTTTAATGAAGGCCTCTGGATCTGTGTGATGCACCTTCGTCTAGTCCAGACTTTCTTTCTGCTGGATTTGAAGGTCCACACTCAAGTGGGTTATCTATCTCGAGTCAGGGTGGAGGACCATTGGTTCCTGCGTCTGGTGCAAATTCTGGAGTGCAAGGATCCCCCAATATGATTCTTGGAAACAACTTTCCATCATCATCAAGTCCGGTAAATGCATCTGTCAGGTAATGAATGTTTAAGCTTAAAACTATGTATTGGCTCCTGTTATTTTCTCATCAAGTGCTGATATGAGTAATCATACTCTCGGGGATGGTAGATATGCTGTTCCGAGATCTGCATCTTTTCCAGTTGATGAGCATCAGAGACTGCAGCAATTTAATCAAATGTTATCAGTAGGAAATATGCAGTCCAATATATCTGCTCCTGGAGCTCTTGCAGGCAGTGATAGTGGTGGTGCTCGTACACATCCCAGCGGCAACAGCATGGGGACAATGTCTGGGTTAAATAGAGGTAGCCCAATGGCAAGGCCTGGGTTTCAGGGAGTTGCATCATCATCTGTGCTGAATTCTGGGAGCATGCTTTCTTCTGGGATGGTAGCAATGCCAAGCACTGTAAATATGCACTCTGGAGTGAGCTCTAATCAAGGGAATCCAATGTTGAGACCTCGTGATATCTTGCACATGATCCGGGTAAGTCAATTTTGGCTCCAAATTGCTCTTTTCCCCTGGTTAACATCTGTTATCGCACCATTGGTAAAGCTATAGTTGGTTGTGTTTTCTTGACTTTCTGCTTCAGGTTAGTGCAGTTATTAACTCATTTCATATATGAAAACTTCGAGTTTGTTAAACTTCATTATGAAATGATAGGTGAAAATACATTCTCCTCTCTGCAAGAAATTTCACGAGCTAAGTTAGTTTCTTGTCATTTTTAACCAGTAAACCCTGACTTTAGGCATCTATGCTGAATAAGTTCTGAAGTGAATTTCTTTGACAGTATTTGATACTTTTGCATAATAGTTAGTACTCCCCATGTTTGAAAAAGAATGAATCTATTTTCTTTTTAGCCCGTTTCAATAAGAATGAGCCCTTTCTAAATTTGGAAACAATTTATTTTAAACTTCCCAATTTACCCTTAATAAAATAATTTATAGCTACACAAATATCTATGGATTGTTTTAGACCACAAGCTTCAAAAGTATTCCGTTCTTTCTTAAACTCCGTGCCCAGTCAAATTGGTTCATTCTTTTTGAAACGGAGAGAGTATAAATTTATAACGGAAAAAATACTTATAAATTTATAAGAGAACACATCTGTGCGTTCAGTATGCTCTTTGGCCTGTCTTATTTAACTGGCAAGCCTAAGTATACCAGTGTTACCATGTGAAACATGGTTTCAGCTGGTCTACACTGTTGAAGCAGCCTGGGTCAAAATGATCGTGTTGAACAACATGTGAATTGAAGAAGTTTAATTAGACTAGCATGAATGTCCTGCAATATGAATTGTTTGTCGATTAGGTTCATTTACATTTGATAGATTAATGCCCATTGAAAAGTGGAGCTCTTTTTGGGGATTCTCGAGGAGAGCAAAGGAGGGGTAGGATATGCTGTTAAAAATCAAGCTGTTGCCACATTAGGAAAAAACAATATGGAGAAGGTGAAGGCAGTTAGATTTAGATGAGCTCCATCGAGAATCTTAGATTTTGTGACACTAATATTTTTTGATAACCGTGGTGTCCGGGCAGGCTTATGCGTACCTCGACTAATTCCACGGGATACCTGATACCAACTTTGTCACGTCCCAAACTACCCCCTAGACGTGACTGGCACCTAGCTAACACCACTTGCCAGGCGAACCCATTTCTCACACGTTTAACCATTTACACAAACACTGAGAGAACAATAAGTGCAGGTCTAAAAGCGTTAATTAATTACAAAAAAGTTACCAATCAATACCTTAGTCAATTGATAAAAAGACCAACGGTCACTCAAATAATAATACTCTAACTCAAATCCCACACAGACCATGGAACATCTAACAGAGTGACATGAGTTTAACTGACAGGTATGCAAACCCCAAAGAGAAGGAAATAACTAACACAAATTAGATAAAGCTGCAGTGACAGCCTCCACGAACAATGCGGTGGCTCACCTCAGCAACAGAATCGGCCCGAACGAACTCTTCAGCCACTAGCTCTATCGTCCGCAATAGTACCTGCATAGAGATGCGGGTAAGGAGTGAGTTATACATAAATATAACCCAGTAAGATCCTCGACCCGCCACTTTGAATACCTCCAGAACAAGTGTTAGAAAATACAAATACATCACAACAAGAACGATATAGCAAATACGATAATTATACAATAGCTCAATATATATGTATCAACAAAGTTAATAAGAATTAACCAACAAGAGTACACACTAAGGACTTGTCATAATTGCAATGAAATAAATTAACCAACACATCTATGAGTCCATAACGGCACCACAATGCCTCAAATATGTAACGGAGCAGCATACACAATGCTCACTGAAGCATACACAATGCCCCAAATATATCAAGAAGCATACACAATGCTTGGGTGATGTACAAAGGCATACACAATGCCTCAACATCATGGCTCACAGCCGTATCAAACTATCAAACTCAACACCATGACTCATAGCCGTATCAAACTATAAAAACATCATGGCTCACAGCCGTATCACGCCATCAAACGACTTATAAAATAATTTTTTTTGTATTTTTCATAAAATAATATATTTGCGGCTAGTCTAAGACCACCGATTCTGCCAAGCGCATGCTTGTCCCAACACATGGACCAGGCAGAGAAAACACATTTTCAAAACGGGTTTTAGAAAAGCAAGCATCAATGCTTAAAGTCTCACTTACTTCGCTAACAAGAAGTTTCCCAACCTTGCAACGTCTAGAACACTAACCAAACGACATTCAATGACCTCAATCTATACAAAATATTGATAAACGATATCACTTAATGGGTCACAACTCAATCTTGTTTTTCATAATTTCAGACTTAAAGCTAAATCTCAATGTTTACACCTCAATTTTTAAAGTGAAATTATATTCTAATATATCAATCTAAATATGATACTTAGCTTTAATTTCTATAAATTAGTAAGGAATATCAATGATAATAACCAGACTAAAAGTCAAAACCTGTCTATATCTAATAAAATAGATATTCGAAAAATTAGCTTAAAATAAATTAAGGTGCGATAGATTCCCAATTACTGCCGCATAGATACGCGAGAATTCTCTGTTAGAACTTCAATTTTGTATCTAATTCTAAGAGCCCATCATTACCGAATCATTGAAACCTATCATTATAAATGTGATCACTTCATCTCAATCCCATTGAATACGTTGTTGCAGTAAGAATTACATATAACCATACCTTGTAACTTGGCTTTCTCCACAAAGATTCTCACACAGTGATTGGTAATTGGAATCAAATAGTAGTCTAGCTTCTATGTATTCACGCCGACGTCACAACCTTTCCCCAATATTGTCTATTGATACTATTCTTTCTCAAAGAACCAGGCTATCAAAATATATTCCAATCCCTATGTCCTAAACTTAGTAGCATACGATATGGGCTTATGGCCCCCTTTTTTATTTATTTATTTATATTATTCAAAATTACTACCTTGCTAATTAGCATGTGTAATTATAAATTATGCCCATTAATTAATTATTTGGTACACTATCTTATATATTATAATAAATTTTCTTTCATTAGTTCAGTATTTGACACAATAGGTATAAATAAAATTAATTCTCCAATTTCACAATTAATAAGTATATAAAAGTATTTCGGGTTATTACACCCTATTGGCAATGGGTATCAGGTAACTCTATCCACTAAGGCTTGGACAGATGGAAAGAAATCACCTAGTGTTTTTGCCTCCGCTGGATTTGAACCTGAGACCTCATGGTTCTCACCCACTTCATTGACCACTAGGCCATACCCTTGGATGCAGATTTTGACTTTCATTGGAGAGTGGATTCACCTTTATATACTGAAGGGATGTAGTTTTTACTTTTTAGTGTCCTGTGACATATTTTGCTCTTCTATAATTTTCATATTGTTGCTTGACATAAGTATTCTGCTTTTTCTGCTCTCCCTGATGGTATAGTTTGTATATCTGATTTTCGGAACTGTAATCTGATGCATTCCCTGCTTGTGTACTTTAACTCTCACCTCTTTGGGATTTTGGTTTGATGACACTGTATGTATCCTGCATTTGCAGCCTTCACAGAATCAGGAAGTTCAGAGGCAAATTCCTGAGCTCCAGAAAGGAAACAGCCAAGGAGTCCCTCCTTTTGGTGGGTTAAGTTCCTCTTTCCCTAACCAGACGGCCCCCTCACCTGTTTCATCACGCCCACTTCATCATCAGCAACCACATCCTATATCTTCACAGCAGCCACTTGTGCATAGCCCTCATCACCCTCATCTTCAAAGGGCCAGTCATGCCACGAACTCACACCATCAAGCTTACGCAATTCGCTTAGCTAGAGAGAGGCACCTGCAACAGCGGCTTTTACAGCAGCAGCAGCAGCAACTCTCACATACGCAGCCCCATCTTCCTATATCATCTTCACTGCAGAATAGTCCTCAAATCACTTCCCAATCTTCTTCTCCACCAGTATCACATTCTCCTTTGGCATCCCCAGCTTCAATGTCTCCAATGCCACAGCATCAACTAAAACATCCATTTCCAGCTCATGGGCTTGGACGAACTGCACAAACTGGGGGTAGTAGTTTAACTACTCAGATGGGCAAGCAAAGGCCACATCAGACAGGACAGCAGCAGCTTCAAAATGCTAGCAGACACCATCTTCCACAGCGCCAGCAGTCAGAGTCTCAAAAACAAGCTAAAGTTTCGAAGGGAGTCGGGAGAGGGAAAATGATGACACATCAGAACATGCAGATTGATCCCTCTTTATTGGATGGCCTTCCTACTGAGCAACTCAATCAATCTGCAGAGAAAGGTGAGCAAACCACTAAGTTACTGCAAAGTCAGGGAGTGTATTCAGGGCCAGGATGCAGCTTGGTCCAGCCTGCAAAGCAAATGGTGAGTCAGCCGCAGCAACCCCACTCTAAGATTTATTCTGGCCAAGTGCCTCCATCCAAAAAGCAGCAAATTCCCTCCATCCAACCTCTTGCATCATCGAGTGTATTAGGTCCTAAATCACCCCACCAATCTGTTCCATCCTCGGTTGTAGGTTCTTCCAACCATAGAATGTTGATGCATCCACAGCCGCAGGTGCAACTGCAGCCAAAGTTGATGACTCAAAGTCAAGCAGCTCTGCAAGGTGGGCTGCAACGGAGCCGGTCAGTGAATTCTGATCCACCAAAGTTGCAATCTTGTGAACCTCAAAGTGAGCAGCACAATATGTGCGACACTTCACAGATAGGTAAAACACCCCTGCAGGACTGCAACAGTTTAACTAATGCCACAGAGGTTTCTGCCCCAGGGGTTGCTCAAATGAAGGCTGCAGTCCCATCATTCGATTCAATTGCGACCCCACCAACAAATTCTGCTGGCAGCGAGACAGTGCCAGAAGTCATCCAAGGGGTAAGCCAAAGGCAATCTTCTGGAAACTTTTCTCCTATTGGGCCTGATGCTAGTGTTCAATGGAAGCAAGAGTCTTCCGAGTTACAGCCTCCCTCACCAGTGACCCAGCCCCAGTCAAACCAGCAACAACTACAGCAGCAGCCACCATTGCAACATTCAGATCAGGCTCAGGCTTTACAAGCAGGGAATAGAAGTTTGTTTGCTAAACACAGCGAATCTAGACCGGATTGAGGCACACTCAAAATATCAAGGATTGCTCTTTTCGCGACTGGTCGATTCCTTCGGCATGCCTTTGAAACAGGAGTTTACAGGTAATTTTTATTTGGTCTCGATTAGCTGGTGTTGATATCGGAAGGTTAAAAAAAATACTCCTACCTGAAATGCTTTCAAAGGAACATAACTTTCTACTCGTAATACCATAATTAATGTCAATTCTTAATACACCTGCAAGAATTGTGTATGATCAGATCCCAGTAAGACGAGTCTAAATGTAGTGACGTGCTTTTATGAGGCTTTAGATTTAATACTTCCCCTAGTTTTTGGTTGAGATAATTTAGGCTCTTGATTAATCCTATTTTCAACATGGCATAATATATAGTATAAGTTGTTCATTCTTGCTTATTTTATTGTTCAGACGAAGCTCATTGTGCCTGAGGGCATCGCATCAGGACGAGATGGTGAAATTCAAGGTTTTGCTGTCGTAGAGGATCATCCGCTTAAATTATGTGTTTTGTATAGTATTTGTTGCCCTAGAGGCCTCAGGAAGGGTAGGGACAGATGTAGAGGTAGGTGTACAGGCTCTCTCTCCTCTTCTTTTTTCCCCCTTCCCCCTTCAATTACCTCTCATTTTTTCTTCAAGCCTCTTGTTCCACCTGCTCACTAGGGGGATCCTATTTGATTTTGTCCCCGTAGATCATCCCATGTATTATAGCCCTTTTTGTATTCAAGGGGATAGCTATCATTTTTATGGCCAAAGGCTGTGGAAAATTTTGTAAATATTAGGCATGTGTATACTTCATATTTGTCATAACAGTCATCAGTCATGACTGCTCACCCTCCTGGGAGCTTGTGCAATTCTTGTAATTTTCCTATTAGCATTTTGCAAATCTTGAAATGGGATTCAATTGCGCATATAGGTAGGACAGCTCCTCGGAAGACTGAACTCAAAGTACGCAGAATTGGATCTTGGTCTGTTTGACCTTGTTCTTGTTAATCGTAACGAGGGTCCATTTTTGGAATTGGCTCAGTGAATTACAAGTAGACATAAAGGAAGAAAGTCTCATGCATGCCAATGGTAAATCTGAGACCTTCCTTCCAAGCAACTAATATCAGGATATCAGGGCCAGGAAAGATTATTATGCTATATAAATTCACTTGTGTGATTGTCAAATTCAGCATCATTAGTGGCAACGACTTTCACAGTGAAAGGTAACGGATTGCTTAAAGGTTATTTGTTTATTTAGACAAGGTGGGTTGCTCTGATGGTAAGCACCCTCCACTTCCAACCAAGAGGTTGTGAGTTCGAGTCACCCCAAGAGCAAGGTGGGGAGTTCTTGGAGGGAAGGATGCCGAGGGTCATTTTGGAAACAGCCTCTCTACCCCAGGGTAGGGGTAAGGTCTGCGTACACACTACCCTCCCCAAACCCCACTAGTGGGATTATATACTGGGTGGTTGTTGTTGTTGTCATGCTCTTACCAGTCTGGTCAATGAAACATTTGTATTCCAACTTCCAGGAAAGTCATATTAACTAAAATGTATAAAATTTACAAGATATTTTCTCGTAAAATAATTAACAGCTTAATTCCTGAAATTTCCCCTGGCTTCGTAAATATTAAATAGTAACTTGAACATGCAATCCAAATCCAGCAACATGGAATTCCAACTACTTGAAACTTGGTGCACTGCTCTTTTAACATTTCAGAATTTGGCGCCAAATCTAAATTCCCAGGCAATCTTGAAGATCTTACCAAAAACTGCCAGCAATTATGGCATTTCAACTCTTTGACTAGCTTGCATATCAATTATACTTATCATTTGCGCAGCATAATCTTTGAACATACAACATAATCTACAAAAGTTGCCTCGAAATAAAGAGGAGTTACATCAACAGTATATGATATGCACTGCAAGAAAGCACCACACCAAATGGCAGATGGAGAAAAATCCACCTATCCCTAATCCCATATCAAGGATATGTAAATAACTGCCTGCAAATTTAGCAGTAAGAGCAACAATGAATGCAGGAACAAGCTAACTCTCAATGAGTTCCGTCAATACCATCAACCACTAAAAGTTTAGGCAACTGGATTGTTAGTAAGATTGTCTACAGCAAGCATCAGATTTCAGTGTCACAAGGTGAAATCATACTACCGTAGGGTACCAAGAACTGAACTTTTAAAAAGCACAAAAAAGTTACTGTCCCAATTCTAAGATCCCTCCAATCATATACAGAAATTTTATTCTTGATCTGGGCTGTGGGTCATACAAACAAGTTTGAATGTCACAGCAGATTCCAATGGAAAGTATTACCTATTAGAAAATGAGCAGAAAGAAAGCATCCTTAACTTTACAATTTAAAAGGATCCATCTTATTCCATTGTTACTGTTGCAACAGCAATTACAGATCTTCTGAATTTCTTTAGGTTAACTCAAATCTTGTCTACAAACTGAATCCTCCAGCAGATATGAACTCTACCACAGAAAAATCTACATTCCTACATAAAAGAGCAAAATAAATTGTAATTATTCCTAAGAATCATTAAGATACAAACGTTAGAAACATGGAAGATATCCCTAAATAAGAACATCGTTTTATGCCTAACACATACAAGTCGAATGCAATTTCCTCTGATGAACTTTCTTGTTCATTTTAGCATCAAAGACTATCTCCATCCCAATGAAATGTAACGAACGAGTTCAAAATTCTTGAGCCACCTTCACTTTCTTATGCGATCCAACGACCCTATTAATAGTATCAATGAGATTCCTCTGATTCTCAAGAATCATTTCCATTCTCCTCTTCTCCATCTCCATCCTATACCTCTCTGTCTCCTTCATCATCTCGATTTTCTTATTCTCCATTCTCATAAACCTCTCCGCAAATCCCCTTATTTCAGCAGCCAATTCACTCCCTCCAACACTCCCTTCATTCTCTTCATCTTCCTCCTCATCCACTTCTTCCTCAACGTCATCATCCTCGTCATCATCATCAAGAGCCACATTCCCAAAATACCCTTTTCTTTTCTCAATCATTGGATTCCTCATCCCCCTCATGACATCAAAGTTTCGATCTTTTTGTTCAAAAACATTGAAGTTTCGATCTTTCACCATCCTATTCACATTTCTATTATCAACAACATTCACATTCATACCCATTAAGCCCATTTCGCCAGGAACAATATGATTAATACTTTTACACTTATTTTTCCTCATATCCATATAACTAAGGGCATCAACTTCATCACTATCAGTATTATTATCATAATAATACCTCTGATGATCAGCAGCAGTAGAATTCAGATTCGATATCGAATTCGAATTCGAATTCTGTTGACATTTCACCATGGCAACAGGATGGGCCGAAATAGGTAAAGGCCCACGCTCCATACGATCCATTAGGTCAAAATATTCCCATGAATTCGGGTAGGGTTTGAGTCTTTCGGCCCGATAACGTTTTCGGAGCTTCTCGATCTTGTGACGGCATTGGGTGGCGGATTTTGATGGCTCATCGAATCCGCAACGAGCTGCTACTGTAATGGCTACTTCTTCCCATTGGCTAGCCTTGAGCTGGCCTTTTTTTAAAGAATACCATTTTTCTTGATAAGCTTGGATTAAATTGAAAGTTTCCTGATGGGTCCATGGGAGAGGT